TAAAGGCGCTTAATGGAAACCTGACAGGCTTTTAGATCGAATCATAGTCCAGACAGCTATTTGATGCCTACTATTTGTAACGGGACGACATAATCGTCAGAGATGCTCCCCTACAATGATAGATAAATGCAACAGAAAAATGAATTACAGAAAACCGATAAATTATAAACCTACTTGTCCGATAACTGGAGGACACAGACGTGCAGAAAGAGCCTTGTATAACTGAGCTTTTACATCCGGATCGAAATTAGACAATTCACAATAGCCTCCACGAAAACCACATCTGGAACGCACAAAGTAGGGGGAGGAAGAGAGGGAAGAAAAATCGATCGGCGAATATGTAAAAAGAACATGCAGCACGCATACGTTTGATCTAAGAGCACTACACTGAGAGTTCTGGAACACCTCACAAGAAAAAGAAAAGATCTTAATTCGCAGTATCTTCGGTTAACAGTTATTCATGTGCGTATACTTGAGTGACCATGGACAGCTCCGAGTGGGGCTACCGTCAATTTGTCTTGCCCAACGAAATGTAAAACGATTATTATAACGATGTCCACTCACTCTCCCATGAATCCCTTGCTACAAGACATAAACGACGCTAGTTCCAGTTGGCCAACATAAGGAGGTCCCATTTCATGGAGAACACGTTTGAAACTGATCCACGGATGTGACTTTGGTTGGTATACATTGAACTGGTACACTTCATCCGCCAACAACACCAAATGATGTTTGCATGCAAATCGAATCACATCTTCCATGCAACTACGAGATAGCACTTGGCCCGTTGGATTCCCGGGGTTAATAACGACCAGTGCCCGCGGTACACATTTACCGTGGGCCGCCCGCAGAGCCCGTTCCAACTCTTCTCGCGTCAATGCCCAATCACGTGATTCGTCTAAGTAGTAATCAATCTGAATAGAGATAAAAAGGGTTCGAGTGAGTGGTACATAAGTTTTATCAAATTAAAAGACCTGTTGGGAATTACTCAATCAGATAAGAAAAGCAAAAAGCTATTGCGGTGCACGAAAACAAAAGATCCAACACCTACTAGGTTTCCAATCTTAACAACCTTAAACCGTCATTCGGAACTGAAATTGAAGTGAATCTCAAAACGTAAGGGAAAATATTAGTTTGACTTAAAGCGTCAACAGAACAAATTACCTTCATTATGGCCTAAACAACTGTCTTATTACGTATAAATTATTGGTTTAAATGACCGTTTGACTTATGATCTCCACTTTTTTTACTTGCCACCATAGGCGTCGCGCACCTGGAGCATATAAGCGAATTTATTCAGAAATTTGTAGAACACCACGGAAGCACTATACAACCATCGAATCACAATTAAAATTGTTTTCTTTAAAGACTACAAAACAACGAAAATACGTCAAATTTATTTACCTCTACCATCGTGGTTGACACCTCAATGTAGGCATGCGCTGATGTATGTTCAATGCTCCCTCGGCTGAAGAACGTACTCCTGAAGAGCGACCAAACCCTTTGTGATAATATATTGTTCAGGCCGAGACTAACTTTATTATTAAAACAGTTCAAGGGCAAACATCGCGGTGAAGCCAGTAACCGTTCGGATCCGATGATATTTGCTCCAGATCGTCTATGCATTTTATACTTGAATAAACGCCGGTAGAAAGTCAGGTTAAAGTAGATGAAAATAAAAGACAAGCGGGAGCCACTCAAGACCATCATCCACAACAACTTGAGCGTAGAAAGACCGGGTTGGACATGCTGCTAGAATGACCATTAACGCACCTATGATGGAGCTTGCACGTTAAAAACACATTGAACCATGTGTCCCGATAAACTCACGCACTCTTTTGTGCATCGCCCGTTCAGTGTCAATCATAAACTATGGCTCCATATTCTGTGGTTAAATTACGGTATTCCGCAACCAAACTCTAGGAGATATCGATTCACTCAGCTCAGCGTGAAATGTGTTTCTGGGCCCGATAGAGCCTTGAGGGATTGTGAGACTATACGCCCATCAATACATTTGATCTTAAAAGTACATAACGTCGAGTTTCCATTTCTAGTAGTAAATTGCATAGATTTCGATATTTTTTGTGAGGAATCAAATTGTTTAGAATGTTATACAGACCGTCGAGAAAAGTAATTATCAATGTGGCTTGCAGGACCTGTAGCGCATATCAATCACGTCAACATAAATGACGATGATAAAGCGAAGCATGATAGAGAGGTGCATGGAAGTTATTGAGAAAACCGAAACAATGTAGCAAAAAACTTAAATTATTTGTGCTTTGGTTGATCCTATTCGTGGATTGCAGACACGCAGTCGACACACCATCACAATAAGGTTATTCAAATTTATCTAATTTGAATAAAGTACACGCATATAGTGGCTCACGTCAGAGTGATACGCACATCGCATTGAAGGCAAATATTGAAGATATTTCTGTTCTTAATCATTCAATGAACAAGAATACCGATGAACATAAAAATTCCCGAGCTGTCACACAACCAGCCAAGATAGTTTGCACCTAACGCATGCAGTGTGGCTGTGGTTGAGCGCTCCGACAGCAACATTTGGTGGAAACAATGCTAAAATTTGAGCCTCATCGAGTATCAAGATTTGAAAAGCGGCTAAGCATGAAAAAGACTATATAGCACATCACCGGTTTGATGTCTCATGGCTTTCTTTACCGATAGGAACTTGTAATAGTAATCTAGACCAGGTCAGGTGAAATGTAATACTTTCTACTTATACATTTATCCACTTTATAATCATGTTAACAAACGTCCCGGTTTTGTACCATTAAAAATGGAACTATGCTGGCCATGTTACGTGCATGTCAAACAACACTTGGGACTAATGAAAAACCGGCCAGGCAATCCGACGCGCCTCCCGCACCCCATTCCTATCCCCACCTTGGATTAGAACAGGGCATGCAAACTCCATGTGGAATTGAAAGCGATGATGATAAAAATAGCAGCAATGATGTATTAACTCGGGTGAAAACATATAGGATAAATAAATAGATCGCTCAAATTTGAGCATTGTCACTGTCGTTACTGCATGAATCAGGATGAAAAACCAACCTGGTAGGCATTCATTTCAGCGTTTGTTGCCGAATAAAGTGGATATTGCGGTATCGGTACCATAATGCCAGCTCGCTTTGGTCCATCCTTACCGGTAGACAATAGATGCAGAACATACTACAAACAAAAGAGCATTCGGGTATTGATATTCGAAGTCAGGACGAAAACAAAACAATCAGAGACGAAGAAACTTGCGTGAAGTAAACACTTGGCGAATTTTCCTACGAAAATTACCCTAATAGCTCATTTTCGTTTTTCACCTGAGGAAACATTGTCGCAAAACAGATTGAAGAGAAATAAAACATACGATTCAATAGTTGCAAATTGTAAAAATGGTCCATCATTACTAGTGTTGCCTGACGGAAGGCTTTAACACTTAAGGTGATAACATACGACCAAGAGAAGCGAAGTACACGGGCTTTTTGTAATCTAAATACTTTGGTTTTGATAATGTAAATGTGAAAGGATTAGAAGTTTACAACCTGACGGATATCCAAAAGGGTTCATCTCGAAGCTCTCCCAACTCGACTATACACAGGAAAAGACACTAGGTGCAGATAAGATGAGAGTGGTCCTGCATCCCTTCGAAGGTGACGATATCAGCTGGCTNCTGGCTGATAACTAGGCGCTTAATATCGGGGGCTGGGCGCAAATACTAAGCAGCTGAACCCACAGTTATTTTGCGATCGCTCGCTTGCGAACATTTTCGATGAAAGAACTGCTGTCTCCCCACGCCAAAGCTAATTGTATTCATCAGTTCGCGTGTGGATATTCAATCATTTACATCAGCAGAAAGGAGAGACAACTGCGTTACCGAGTAACAGAGCACATCCCGATCTGGCTTCAGAAAACAATGAGTACGAATTTCGAAAGTATGACGTCACCGAAACTCAGTTCATCGATCACACAGCAGCCGGTTGAAATGAAGCACTGTGTCATGCGGCGCGACGCGTTCAGAATCTTCTACTATACAAACAACACCAGGGTTCTGAGATACTCCGAGACATTAGTCATTCAAAATTACCATTCCCGACTGTGTAAACAGCGTTAATGGGTTATTACCCTTGGTAAAAAATGTTTGGTCATTAATTGTGACCGCAATCTTTCTCAGCCTATGGGTTTGTTATTTCTGACCAAATATTAAAGATCACATAAACCGCAGTTTGCATGTGTAAAGATGCAACAAAATGATCCAAGATACATAGTGCGAACCTGTTTTTTGCTTCTCTATTCTAATTCGTTGCGAGAAAACTGCTTGCAACTTTGATTTTAGTCGTTTTTGTGGTGTGTAATCCGAACTTTCCTTCTGGATCGAATTAAGATGCTGCCGCAAGATTGACAGGCACCTGTGCACCACAGGTGTGACTAATAGCTTTCCATGTCGAAGAGGGCTGTATAACGACTATGTGAATGGTGGAGATACTTCAACGCACATTGAAATGGCTTGTAAATTTACGGTACGTATTGTTATGGCTGCGAAACCTGGCCAGACTATAACCAACGAATGCCTGGTTTCGATAACAGTTGTGAGTAACATCGCCCACGTGTGGTGCGAGCATCACGTGAGTACCAATGACTTTAAATGACGTGTTTTAGGGGCAGAAAATCTTCCGTCGGTCAAAATATTTTACTGCACCGATTGATCTGACCGGGGTACGCCCTAAAAATGCCTGATCAACCTCTGACGGACCGTACTTTTGAAAAAGAAGAAACAGTGAGATGAACAAGCTATTACGTGGCACAGAGGGTTGAAGAAATTATAGGCATATCCGGCGTTTGTCGGGATTCACGAACTTCTAGGGTGAGATCCCCAAAAGTTCAGATTATCGTTGGTTGGAGATATTAGAGATATGACACTGGATCGAAGTCAGTGGTGTGACTGAACGTTAACTGCTCTGCCCTCCAAACGACAGAAAAACAAAAATTTCAAGTTTGCATTTAAATAGATTGCTCTATCTCACATCGGTTACTCTTGTGCCTTGTCTGTAAAAATTGCTATATAAAGCACTGATGTGAATCTAATCCAGATTTCTGGTTGTACTGATTAACATGAACCACGGCCTGGTTCGCAATAGATTCTGTCTGCAATCATGGGCAAATGCATCAATGTCACACGAAAAAAACAATTAATTTGAACACAAAAATTAACTGAGCGCAAATCTTTCAGAAGCGAGCTCATTCAAAGCCTCGTAAATGGGCTACAAGTATAAGATTACGGATAGGAGTGGGAGTATTAGCAACAGCTGTAATTTGTCCTGTTAAGATTATCGATCTGCGAAGACTTGATGCAGCAAAAGTTCGACAGTCCAAATAGTTATGTCCATTATTATCGTTCAGAAAGGACAATAAATTTCGTAGTATCATAATTTGAAACAAGTCCCCCATCTGGACGACTGGATACGGAAATACTTTACCTCAAAAGAGATAAAATTACAGAATTAGGTAGATTTTCATCATCCGTTTCAAAGAATAATGGTGGAACCTGAGTCTTGAAGTTAACCAAACTACTGGGTGCTGTGTGGTAGAGTGAAGAAATCTTTTTTAGCCATTGGAGTCAATCAGTTATCTCACCCAGTTAAAAAACAGTATACAGTTTGTGGAGGAATGGACCAACAGGATGAGTACATCGTTCATTAAATACCTCAATTCTATGGACATTGGATGAGATGAATACAAGAGAAGTAGATGTGGATACCATAGAGTGGAGCCTCAGTGACCGGTGGTGATGGTGGCGCGGTGGTTTGGTTGCTATCACCGGCGTGCTTTGGACCATATGGTCTAAGGTTCAAACCCCACCACTGCCACCGAACTTTTGCGATCGACAGCTTTGCTGTCG